ACCCCCTTTCTGCCCCCCCCCCCCTGCCCCCCCCGGTGCCAGGGGGGGTGGGTGACGGTGCCGCGGTGCCCGCAGGCTGCGGTACATGGTGAAGCAGCTGGAGACGGGGGAGGTGAACGTGGAGGAGCTGAAGAGGAACCTGGAATACGCCGCGTCGCTGCTGGAGGCCGTCTACATCGATGAGACCAGGTGCGGGCAGCCGGGGTGGCAGGGGGGGCACGGGGAACCATGCCCACCTTGATGCCACCTTCCCTGTCCCCATCCCTGCTGGACATGGAGGATGAGTTGCAGGAGATGGGCTGGGAGGTGGTGGTGGTCCTGGAAGTGTGGGACTGGTTGGTGGCCAGCAGGGTGGCAGGGAGACATGGGTGATGATGCCCACCTTGATGCCACCTTCCCTGTCCCCATCCCAATCCCTGCTGGTCATGGAGGACGAGCTGTGGAAGATGGACTGGGAGGTGGTGGTGGTCCTGGAAGTGCAGGACTGGTTGGTGGGGTGGCACGGGGACAACTGGGGATGATGCCCATCTTGATGCCACCTTCCCTGTCCACATCCCTGCTGGACATGGAGGACGAGTTGAAGGAGATGGGCTGGGAGGTGGTGGTGCCCCTGGAAGTGCAGGACTGGTTGGTGGCCAGCGGGGTGGCAGGGAGACACGGGGGACGATGCCCACCTTGATGCCACCTTCCCTGTCCCCATCCCAATCCCTGCTGGACGTGGAGCTTGAGCTGTGGAAGAATGGCTGGGAGGTGGTGGTGCCCCTGGAAGTGCAGGACTGGTTGGTGGGGTGGCAGGGGGACAACCGGGGATGATGCCCATCTTGATGCCACCTTCGTCATCCCCATCCCCATCGCACAGGGAGATGCTGGACGTGGAGAACGAGTTGTGGGAGATGGGCTGGGACGTGGGGGTGCCCTGGGAAGTGTAGGGCTGGCCAGTGGGGTGGAGGGGGACAGAGGGGACAATGCCCACCTTGATGCCATCCCCTCCTTGTCCCCATCCCAATCCCTACTGGACATGGAGGACGAGCAGCAGGAGATGGGTTGGGACGTGGGGGTGCCCCTGGAAGTGCAGGACTGGCTGGTGGGGTGGCACGGGGACAACTGGGGATGATGCCCATCTTGATGCCACCTTCCCCATCCCCATCCCATAGGGAGATGCTGGACATGGAGGACGAGTTGTGGGAGATGGGCTGGGACGTGGGGGTGCCCCTGGAAGTGTGGGACTGGCCAATGGCCAGTGGGGTGGCAGGGTGACACGGGTGACGATGCCCACCTTGATGCCACCTTCCCCCACCCGCAGGCAGATGCTGGACACGGAGGACGAGCTGCGGGAGATGGGCTCGGACGCGGCGGTGCCCTCGGAAGTGCGGGACTGGCTGGCGGCCACCTTCACCCAACAGGCACGAGCCAAGGGCCGGCGGGCGGAGGAGAAGCCCAAGTTCCGCAGCATCGTTCACGCCGTCCAGGCCGGCATCTTCGTGGAGAGGTGGGTGCTGGGTGGCACCCAACCCCCCTGGGTGGGTGGGGTGGTCACATCTGGGGTGGAGATGGGGGTGAAAGCATGGTCATCCACTGTCCCGTGGCAGCCAGGGCTGTGCCCAGCACCCAGGGGGGGTCCAGGGCACCCATCTGGGTCCCTGAGCACCTGGGATGTCCCCAATCACCAAGATGGGTCCCCAAGAACCCGGGATGTCCCCAGTCATCAAGGTGGGTCCCCAAGAACCTGGGATGTCCCCAGTCACTAAGGTGGGTCCCCAAGAACCCAGGATGTCCCCAATCACCAAGGTGGGTCCCCAAGAACCTGGGATGTCCCCAGTCACCAAGGTGGGTCCCTGAGCACCTGGGATGTCCCCAGTCACCAAGGTGGGTCCCCAAGAACCCAAGAGCTGCCCTCAGCATCTAGGTGGTCCCCAAGCACCAAGGTGGGTCCTGGAGCACCTAAATGGGTTCCCAAGCACCCAGACCCAACAGGCACGAGCCAAGGGCCGGCGGGCGGAGGAGAAGCCCAAGTTCCGCAGCATCGTTCACGCCGTCCAGGCCGGCATCTTCGTGGAGAGGTGGGTGCTGGGTGGCACCCAACCCCCCTGGGTGGGTGGGGTGGTCACATCTGGGGTGGAGATGGGGGTGAAAGCATGGTCATCCACTGTCCCGTGGCAGCCAGGGCTGTGCCCAGCACCCAGGGGGGGTCCAGGGCACCCATCTGGGTCCCTGAGCACCTGGGATGTCCCCAATCACCAAGATGGGTCCCCAAGAACCCGGGATGTCCCCAGTCATCAAGGTGGGTCCCCAAGAACCTGGGATGTCCCCAGTCACTAAGGTGGGTCCCCAAGAACCCAGGATGTCCCCAATCACCAAGGTGGGTCCCCAAGAACCTGGGATGTCCCCAGTCACCAAGGTGGGTCCCTGAGCACCTGGGATGTCCCCAGTCACCAAGGTGGGTCCCCAAGAACCCAAGAGCTGCCCTCAGCATCTAGGTGGTCCCCAAGCACCAAGGTGGGTCCTGGAGCACCTAAATGGGTTCCCAAGCACCCAGGTGGGTTCCCCCCAGCACCCAGGGGCTGTCCTCAGCACCCAGGTGGTCCTCAAGCACCTGGGAGGTCCCCAGTGCTCAGGTGGGTCCCTTGCACCAAGGTGGGTCCTGGAGCACCTAAATGGGTTCCCAAGCACCCAGGTGGGTCCCCCCTGGAACCCAAGGACTGTCCTCAAGCACCCAGGTGGTCCCCAAGCACCTGGAATGTCCCTTGCACCCAGGTGGGTCCCCAGCTCCCAGGTGGATCCCCCAACACCCAGGGATGGTTCCCTACACCCAGGTGGGTGTCCAAGCACCAAGGTGGGTCCTCCAGCACCTAGGGACTGTCCTCAGTATCCAAGTGGTCCCCAAGCACCTGGGTGTCCCCAGCACCCAGGTGGGTCCCCACTGCCCAAGGTGGGGCCCTGAGTACCCAGGTGGGTCCTCAAACACCCAGGGGTTGTCCCCTGCACCCAGAGATCCTCCACACCCAGGTGGGTCCCCAAGCACCAAGGTGGGTCCTCAAGCACCCAGGTTGGTTCCTGAGCACCCAGATGGGTCCCCATGCAATCAGGGACTGTCCTCAGCACCCAGAGCCCCCAAGCACCTGGGGTGTCTCCTGCGCCCAGCTGGATCACCCAGCACCCAGAGATGATCCCACCACCCACATGGGTCCTCAACACCAAGGTGCGTCCTTGAGCACCCAAGGGCTGTCCCCACCACCCAGGGGGGACCTCGAGCACCTGGACTGTCCCTCTGACCCAGGTGGGTCCCCACATTCCAGGGTCTGTCCCTGGGCACCCAGGTGGGTCCCCAAGGACCTGAACTGTCCTCATCAGCCAAGTTTGTCCCCAAGACCCAGGTCTTGTCCCCTGGCACCCAAGGCCTGTCCCCAAGCACCCATGTGGATTCCTTAGCACCCATGTGGGTTCCCCCCAACCCCCAGCTCTGTCCCCCAGCCCCCGTGTGGGTCCCCCAGCCCCACATCAGCCCTGCCTCCCCCCTCGCAGGATGTTCCGCCGGACGTACACGGCCGTGGCACCCAGCTACTCCTCCTCCGTCCTCAACTGCCTGAAGGTACCAGGGGGTGGGGGGGCACCCCAGAACCCCACGGGGATGCCCTGGCAGCACCTGGGCACCCCCATCCACACCCCTGGCTACTGGGGATGTGGTCTGGGTTGCCCCGGGGAGATGGCACCCAGTGCTGCTGGGCATGGATGGGCATCGCTGGGCATTGCCTGGAATTTCTGGGCTTCACTGGGCATGGCTGGGCATCACTAGGGATTGTTGGGCATTGCTGGGCATGGCTGGATGTCCCTGGCATGGCTGGGCATCACCGGGGGTGTCTGGCATTGCTGGGCATTGCCTGGAATTGCTGGGTTCAGTGGGCATGGCTCGATGACCCTGGGCATGGCTGGGCTTCTCTGGGCTTCACTGGGCATCACTGGGGGTTGCCTGGCATCACCTGGCATTGCTGGGCACCACCTGGAATTGTTGGGCATCACTGGGCATGGCTGGGCATCTCTGGGCTTCACTGGGCATGGCTGGGCAGTGCTGGGCATCACTGGGGATTGTCAGGCATTGCATGGCATCATTGGGATTGGCTGGGCATCACCTGGAATTGCTGGGCATCTCTGGACATCACTGGGGGTTGTCAGGCATTGCATGGCATCATTGGGATTGGCTGGGCATCACCTGGAATTGCTGGGCATCTCTGGATATCACTGGGGGTTGTCAGGCATGGCTGGGCATCTCTGGGCTTCACTGGGCATGGATGGACTCCATTGGGCATCACTGGGGGTTGCCTGGCATCATTGGGCAGGGCTGGGCATCACCTGGAATTGCTGGGCATCTCTGGATATCACTGGGGGTTGTCAGGCATGGCTGGGCATCTCTGGGCTTCACTGGGCATGGATGGACTCCATTGGGCATCACTGGGGGTTGCCTGGCATCATTGGGCAGGGCTGGGCATCACCTGGAATTGCTGGGCATCTCTGGATATCACTGGGGGTTGTCAGGCATGGCTGGGCATCTCTGGGCTTCACTGGGCATGGATGGACTCCATTGGGCATCACTGGGGGTTGCCTGGCATCATTGGGCAGGGCTGGGCATCACCTGGAATTGCTGGGCATCTCTGGATATCACTGGGGGTTGTCAGGCATGGCTGGGCATCTCTGGGCTTCACTGGGCATGGATGGACTCCATTGGGCATCACTGGGGGTTGCCTGGCATCATTGGGCAGGGCTGGGCATCACCTGGAATTGCTGGGCATCAGTGGACATGGCTTGGTGTCCCTGGGCATGGCTGGGGTACACTGGGTGACCTTGGAGATTCTTGGGCTTCACTGGGCATCACCTGGAATTGTTGGGCATCACTGGGCATGGCTGGGCATCTCTGGACATCACTGGGGATTGTCAGGCATGGCTGGGCATCTCTGGGCTTCACTGGGCATCACTGGGGGTTGCCTGGCATCACCTGGCATTGCTGGGCACCACCTGGAATTGTTGGGCATCACTGGGCATGGCTGGGCATCTCTGGGCTTCACTGGGCTCCATTGGGCATCACTGGGGGTTGCCTGGCATCATTTGGATTGGCTGGGCACCACCTGGAATTGTTGGGCATCACTGGGCATGGCTTGGTGCCCCTGGGCATGGCTGGGCTACACTGGATGACCTTGGAGATTCTTGGGCTTCACTGGGCACCACTTGGAATTGTTGGGCATCAGTGGGCATGGCTGGGCATCTCTGGATATCACTGGGGGTTGTCAGGCATGGCTGGGCATCTCTGGGCTTCACTGGGCTCCACTGGGCATCACTGGGGGTTGCCTGGCATCATTGGGCAGGGCTGGGCATCACCTGGAATTGCTGGCCATCAATGGGCATCGCCCAAAATTGCTGAGGGCATCACTGGGCATGGCTTGGTGTCCCTGGGCATGGCTGGGCTTCACTGGATGACCTTGGAGATTCTTGGGCTTCACTGGGCACCACCTGGAATTGTTGGGCATCACTGGGCATGGCTGGGCATCTCTGGACATCACTGGGGGTTGTCAGGCATGGCTGGGCATCTCTGGGCTTCACTGGGCTCCACTGGGCATCACTGGGGGTTGCCTGGCATCATTGGGCATGGCTGGGCACCACCTGGAATTGTTGGGCATCACTGGGCATGGCTGGGCATCTCTGGATATCACTGGGGGTTGTCAGGCATGGCTGGGCATCTCTGGGCTTCACTGGGCTCCACTGGGCATCACTGGGGGTTGCCTGGCATCATTTGGCTTCGCTGGGCACCACCTGGAATTGTTGGGCATCACTGGGCATGGCTGGGCATCTCTGGACATCACTGGGCGTTGTCAGGCATGGCTGGGCATCTCTGGGCTTCACTGGGCTCCACTGGGCATCACTGGGGGTTGCCTGGCATCATTGGGCAGGGCTGGGCACCACCTGGAATTGTTGGGCATCACTGGGCATGGCTGGGCATCTCTGGATATCACTGGGGGTTGTCAGGCATGGCTGGGCATCTCTGGGCTTCACTGGGCATGGATGGGCCTCATTGGGCATCACTGGGAGTTGCCTGGCATCATTGGGCAGGGCTGGGCATCACCTGGAATTGTTGGGCATCAGTGGGCATGGCTTGGTGTCCCTGGGCATGGCTGGGCTTCACTGGATGACCTTGGAGATTCTTGGGCTTCACTGGGCACCACCTTGTTGGGCATCACTGGGCATGGCTGGGCATCTCTGGATATCACTGGGCATGGCTGGTCTCCATTGGGCATCACTGGGGGTTGCCTGGCATCATTGGGCAGGGCTGGACACCACCTGGAATTGTTGGGCATCACCCAACATTGCTGAGGGCATCACTGGGCTCAACTGGGTGTCACCGGGCACTGCTTGCCCTGGCACCGGGGTGACACCCCCGTGTGCC